GAGAAGCAACTGGGAAGCTACAGTGCTCAACGACATCGCATGGTATCAGGGATTTTTTTTCTTAGAAAGCAAAACTGATAGTTGATGATAATTACGTATAATTTATTTTATGGGGAGGGGTGGTATAGTGGCAGAAGGCGCAATAAAACACATACGTTTTTCAGGGATTGAAACCCCAGATCGGTTATAGACTAGATCAAGGGACTTGCAGCCTTTTGAGGTTGGCTAATTGGTACCTGACTCGTTTTGCATGATAAATAACATCGATATGAACTCTAGCTGACAACATCAAGTCATTGTAAGGCTACAGACGCATTCAAAATTACGATTTCGAATAAGAGTTGGATGTGGGGCGCATCCAGGAAGGGATGTAGATTAATACCAAAATCTCTTGAAGTTTCACCATCAGTTTTCTACCCTGAGGAGAAAAAGTTTATATCAGCAGGAACTTTTTCCTTAGAATTGCGAACGTCTCAACAGATTGAAGTTTCAACCATGCAAGTGGTAAGCACGTTTCCTACCACCTCTGTTCCCGAATAAAAATGCAGTTGAAGGCATGGGGCACTACGATTGTGTAGTTGAATTATTTCACGCACTTATCGTACCCTCGTCTTTCAAGGGTTTTTTTTAAGTTTCTGAACACCACACAACTTTGAACAATAGCTGCTAGCATCTGGAAAATCGTCATTGAACAACAGTCTTTCAATCCTGAAAAATACAATATTTATCCCAGAATATGAAGAAAACAATAACAATACTTTGTTACGCAATAAGTTATCAACTAAGATAAAGCAACGGACATTCATCAAATTATTATGTTACTTGATTTCATCCACCGTGATGGACAAAGTTTGTATAATAAACCACACGAGTAGTCTGAGGACTGAATCTTACTCCCATCGAGTAAGCCTTCCATCCTTCTGAGGTCAGTTAATCGGTGCCAGATACTACTGAGGTTATAGAAACGTTGAATAGCCATCAGTTGATCACCGCAAATCATTGTACAGAGCGCATACGGATTCAAACGCTACTGTGATTCTGAACGGAACTAACATGCGGGGGCGCATCTTGAAAGCGAGATTGATCAACGGCAGAGGCATATTTATAGTTCTGTACATTTTGGATGACTGTTCTACAGGTTTCACTAGCTCATATCATCGGTATTAGAATAGACAAGAAATGTAGAAGATTTGGACGAGATTTCATTCGTTGCATTTGCATAAAGACGAACTATTATATTAGCCCGAAAATGCCCACAGTCGCCTTCTGCTGTCGTCAAGGGACACCCATGTTGGAAAGTAATGGCTAGTTGTTCGACTTTGTAATATGAATGACTGTAGTCAATGGTGCGATCTCTGCAACGCTGTTAAAACTCGTCCTTAATGGGGTGTGAACGTCGACGAAGTTTACCCTTGAGCCGGCCGTGAAATTTCGAATGCCTTTTTTCGTGAACTGTGTGTTCAGTTCAAAGAACTTAGCTCAAGGACCCAAGCATACGCAGTAAAATGAACGTCAAGCTTTCCATGGCTACCATTAATGACCCTTCAAGGAATGATATGTCAATTTTCTACTACAGATTGATAGACAAAGATGGAATAAAGCTGTGGCAGGCCAATAAGTTGCTCCCCAAACTCCTCAAAGCCTTCCATCACTACCAAGTTTGGAAAAGCTTTCGATTTGCATGCGTAGACGCTCAAAAGTCTCTGCGATATGAGTA